GGAGGTCTGCAGCCACGGAGTGGTTACTGCCCGCTGGACCGGTGGGAATCAAGGGGCATGCCGAGCAGATGGACCACCTCCCTCCTCAGTCTGCTCCCTGCAGACACTCCCCTCCTTCCCAGTTGCTTAGACTCTGTTTCCCCCTTGCAGGTCTTGGAAGTTCTCTACCTATCTAACTGCTCCCTGAAACCACAGCACTCCTCCTCCTCCTCCTCCGTTGTCCCCCATCCACAGAAAGCGCTGTTCCATCCACCCTGCACTGCGCTTGCCCACTTCTAGCCCCACAGAAGTCCTCTGCTCCATTAGCCCCTTCTCCAGATCATGCTCCCTAATGTCCACCCTCCTCAGCTCTTGCGCTTGGCACAGCCTTGCAGAAGCTTCCAGAGCTCTGGCTCTGCTCCTCCTCCTCCTCCTCCGTTGTCCCCCATCCACAGAAAGCGCTGTTCCATCCACCCTGCACTGCGCTTGCCCACTTCTAGCCCCACAGAAGTCCTCTGCTCCATTAGCCCCTTCTCCAGATCATGCTCCCTAATGTCCACCCTCCTCAGCTCTTGCGCTTGGCACAGCCTTGCAGAAGCTTCCAGAGCTCTGGCTCTGTGGCCGCTGTAGCCAGCACACGCTCGGCTTCAGGAGAGGTTATCTCTGGGGGGAGAGGGGGGAGCCAGCCCCCCAGGAGGGACCCTGCCAGCTAAAGGTCACAGACAAGTTCTCCTGAGAGGGAGCTCTCCCAGAAGAACTGAGACCCAGCAGGCTCCTGGGACAGTGAGGCACAGCAAAGGATACGGATTGTCTCGGGGATACTGGTGTCCAGGCAGTCAATGATCTGCTCCAACTCTTCTTGCATGCCTGGAGTCTGGAACAGGTCCTCCTGCCAAAAACAGCACAGAGATGGACAGTCACCTTCCTCACAAAGGCCGAGGCACACAGTGACAGCGGGGTGAAAGCTGGGACCCCCCAGCCAGTGCCTCAAGCACAGGAGAAAAGTCCTGCCCTATGAACACCACACTGGAGTCAATCTCCAGCTGCTGATGCATCAGGTCACCAAGCTCTCCAGAGCTTCCCGGCACGGCAGAGGCCTCCTCCCTCACCTGGTGGCAGGCATGCTTGAACAAGTGGTCCACCAGGAGCCAGATCTCCTTTGGCACCTGCAGCGGCATCTCACTGGCATCCTCGCTGTCCAGGGAGCCCATCTGCAGAACGGATTTCTCCTGGTGGCAAAGAGCACACAAGGTTTCAGGGAAACCTCAGTCCCTCTGGAAGGGCCTCGGTAAAGAAAGGCTGGAGCAGGGAAAAGCAGGACCCAGGACTCATCTGGCCCCTACTTGCTTTTACAGCACAGAGCCATCGCTCCGTAGGTCCCAGCTCCACTCCCTCCTGCTGCCCCCCAGAACAACCACCATGAAACTGCAGAAGATGGTCTCAGCCACACCAGCTCCTGCAGGACGGGTCTCTTGCTGGCCAAGGTGGCCTGTCCAAATCCCAACTCTCACTCTGCAGCTGACACTCTGGAGGACTGGAGCCAAGCGAGTCCTTCTGCTGCCTTCACTTCCACATTTTAGGCTAAATCCAGCCACCACGCCCCGCTCATCCAGCTGATCTCTGGATGCAGAGTGAAGGCCATGCCTGTCCAGACTCCTGTGTGCTCTGACCATGTCCGTCCTCTGGGTGCTAAACCAGACCCGTTTTCTACAGTTTCTTTCCTGATTTTCCAAAGGAGAGGTCTCTTCTGACACCATTGTCACGTTTTCCCACTTACTCATGCCAAGCAGCTGACGAGCGCAACCGCTCTGAAATCTCCATCACATCAATCTTTAACAGGATCAATGTTTTTGCTTGATTTTAATCTCACTTCACCATCGCTCACACCCCTGTGTACTCCCAAGGAGGAAGCCATGCACAGCTCTCGTGAAGCACGTTCGGCAGAAGCACCCAGAAGACACCGGCACAGAGGGGAACACAACCCAGGGACGCCAGCGGAGAGGAGCGCCACAAGCCGAACGCGAAGCGCTTCACTTCAGCTGCCAGCTCACGTGACGACTGCCATCGCCGTCCCTCTGCGGCACACGCAATCGCTAGCTGGGGCCAGCTTCGGCCCCCCCAGCGAAGACACGAGCCCCGCCGGCACAGGCAATAGCCACGCTTGCCACCCAGCACAGCATAGCTTTGCTCTGCCCTGCACACCGCCAGGTTTAACCCAGCCAGCAGACGCTGGGTCGTGGCTACACATCTGCCTTGCTCATCCGAGCACGCAGGGGAGGTCTGGAAGCAGCACGGTAGGCAAGGTGAGAGCTGTG